TCCTCCAGGGCAGGGACTGTTTCTCCTTCCTCATTTTGTTGCCACCCTCCTCCTCCAAATTCAGCTCAGGGCTAGGCGCAAAGCACAGGCTGGACAGATGGGCGACTGAGGGACAAACAGAGAGTCAATCAATGTTCTCCACAACCAGATCCCTACCTATCTCCAGTCCCTCCTGGCCTCAGACTGCGATCCAGCAACACAGAACAGCAAGTGACTTCCCCTCCCGCACACCCCCCAGGCTGCTCCTTGCCTCGTGCTACCACATATGCTGCCCTTTTTGCCCGGAATGCCTTCCCCTTCTATTTACAAAGCCCAACTGATATTTTAAGTCTATGACCAGGTGTCATTTCCTCTAGAAGGCTTTCTCAGATCCCCCAGGCTGTTTGTCCTCTGGTCTCCTACAGCCCCTGTAGTTTCCTGTCTCACAGCATTGACCACCCTATTGCCACAGCTTACCCCTGACTCTGTCACAATGGGCAGGAATCATGCCTGCTCAAGTGTTCCCTGTGTCAAGCAGAGGACTCAGGATAGGGCAGATGCTCTTTGTCAAATGAACAAATAAATCCTGGAGAAAAAGAGCAGGCAGTCTGAGGCCCAAGACTGATCTCACCAGGCTTCCTTTATTAGACAGCTTGGGCTGATAAACAACTGAGGGAAGCACTCAGCAGAGGCCTAGCCCCCTGCCGGGAGAAGGGAGATGGGTAGGGGTGTTGTCTTTCACCCAGTTAGTCCTGAAGGAAATGTGATCTGCGCTGGGAGAACAGGAGGTCTCACTTTTCCCAGTCCCAGTCCTGACAACTCCGCACAGGGCTTGGCCTGAGCCTGGACAGATGTGCCTCCAGTCTGCCTTGTGCCCTAGGTTTCGGGTGAGCAGTTCCTCAGGCTCAGGTTTGGGATAAGCACAGGAGCAGGACCACCTGCTCACACTGCTGACAGGTGGGAGGCCAGACTTCCACTTCTGAGGAGCCAGAGATGGATGAACTTAAGTGCCTCACGGGAGAAGGGAGGAAATGGATGTTACACAGGGAGGGAGGCAGGGAGGGAGGGAGGAAGGAGAAGAGACCTGGCCTCCCTCTGATACAGCCAAGGGGAGTGTGAAAGACTCTGGACTGCTTACTTCAGGTACACTGAAAAGTCAATAAAAAGCAAAGAAAGAGTCACAAAAACCAAGTAAGTGCCACTGTGCTGTGGAACAGGGTAAAAGATGGTAGAAAACGCAACCTTGTCCCTGCCCTTCAGGAGGCACACAATCCAGCAGTTTCAGATGAAATACAGTCCACAGACTTCTTCCTATAAAGACCAGTGTGGCAAGTGGCATTCAGCGCCACTTCTCCAACCTGACCTCCAGCTTTTCTTCCACAAAAGGAGCTCCCTCCTGTGACAAGCTGCCATGGCCCTTCCTAGATGACCCTCGTACTCTCCCAGACCAGAAGGAAGGTTAAGGATGAAAGTGGGGGGAAAGGGGCAAATGAAGATGAGATCACACCCAGCTGGGAGGAATCCAAGAAGGCTCTGTAAGGAAAGCAGCACTAGAGCTTTGAAAGGTGTAAGCAGAGGATAATGAACACACAGGGCAGAGGGCCGTCTGTGTGGAGGACTCGCATCCAGGGCCCATGGACTGAAGATTCCAGGGTGTCCTTGAAGAAGAAGATCGAGCACCTCCCCCTTTGGAGCAGAAGAGCCTTAGGATTCTGCCCTTCACTATCCAGAACTTTCCCAAGACTCTGGGGCTAAGGACAGGAGCTAGGGGAGGTCAAGTAGAGACAGGCACAGTAGAGAGCCCCAGAGAGGTCAAGTGGGGAAGAAGGGTAAAGGACAATATCATTTACTAGGTCTGAGTTTTGTTCTAAATACTGCTATCATTGACCATACCAATCATATACACGGTGGCCCAATCATATGTAACCTACAGTCACGCGCTACACAATGATGTGTTGGTTAACAATAGACTGCATTTAGGATGTGGTCCTATAAGATTATAATGAAGCTGAAAAATTCCTATCCCCTTGTGACACTGTAACTGTCTCAACATCACAGTGCAACAAATTACCTTTTCTGTATTTACATATGTCTAGATACACAAATACTTACCATTGTGTTAGAATTGACTACAGTATTCAGGACAATAATGTGCTATACAGATTCCTAACCCAGGAGCAACAGGCTATACCATACATAGATTAGGTGTGTGGTGGGCTATTACCATTTAGGTTTGGGTATACTCTATGATGTTCACACAGTAATGAAAGTGCACTACTCAGAATGTGTCCCTATTGTTAAGCAACGCATGACTGTATGTGTAAATTTAAAAAAGAAAAAAATGAGCATGGGATTCTATCCTGCTGTAGGCAGGTCTGTTGGGTAGAGCTAAGAGCCCAGGACACAGAGTAAGAAATAAAGAGCAGCAGGAACCACCTGTACAGAGTCTAGAGTACAGAAAGGCTGAATAAGGACCTGCTGTAGGAATTCCAGAAAGTTTCCTTCTAGCAAGGATAGTCAGGCTCCCTCTACCCCCACCTGCAGTGCCCAGCAGAGTCCCCCAAAGTGCACTCTGCTTTGGGGGAAGGGGAGGCCTCCTTCAGGCCTTCATCATCTTGAATCTGTCTTACTGAAACAGAAGCAGCCTCCTAACAGATCGGCTCTCAGCCTTTCTCCAATGCAGTCCATCCTTCATTCCTCTGCAAGTCAGCCTTAACTGGGTCATTCCCCTGCTCAAAAACTTCCCACGTCTCCCCACTGTGTATACAGTAAGAGTTCAAAACTCCTCACCCTGGGCATGGCAGGCCTTGGACATTCCAGCTTCTCTCAGACAACCTTCCCTCTTTCCTGACACTCTGTACAAATCCCACCTCAGGAGGATCAACATATTCTGCAGGCCCAGCAGCCAGCCAGCATCTGCTTCCCGCCTTTGGTCAGCTTGCTCCCAGCTCTGTGGTCTTGTATGAGATGGGCGCTGAGGGCAGGTCTGTGCCTTGCTCATCTCTGATGTCCTCACGTGGAGTGAAGGGAGATTCTGACAGGGTCATCCTGACCAAGTGAGGTGGGACAAGAGGAGGCAGGAGAAAAGCAGGCTACAGCCTGGGGATACACGTGAAAAGCCCCCACAGACACTATCCACATGAGAATGAATTGTTCAGAAAAATTGTCTGAATCACACATACACTGTTAAGTTCAATTACTTTCTGTATTTTGGAGGTGGGTGTTTAATTGCTATTAGAAAAACATGTATTTGAAAGAACTAAATAATCAATGCTTGGCAGCTCAATGGAATAGGGTAGTGGCATCCCCTGGGGGATGGAAGAATGGATTCCCAACATTGCTGCTCTGCAAATGTACCGCCAAAAGGGGAAAGCCGCAGCCTGGCAGCCCTCAGCAGTAGCCAACAGGTGATTCCAGGGTCAGCAAGGGTCAGTTGCCATACTCGTAACTCCCTTGCACTGCAGCAGAATGAAGCAAGGCACATCTGTTTCTCGAGGAATGAAGATGCCACACACAGCCTGCAGTTATGAATGGCTCTTATAACAACAGGATGACATCTGTGCTTGGTTTTTAAGATGCATCATTGCATGTTTATTAAACTATTGCTCCATCATATTTATTTGGCTACAAAACAACTCCCAGCCCATACTTCCAAAAGTGGTTTATTAAAAACTAAGGCTTGAACATTAATACTCAAAAGCACTCTTGAGAATCAATAATAATGCTGCAGATAAAATGAAAGGGAATCAAAGCAGTAAGTCTTGGTGGGGCCATGGCTGCTTTTCAACATTTTCTTGTATGTTCAGGAAGCTGAAGTGGGGAAGAACACTAAGGGCCTGTAGCACTGGGTGTGGAAATAGCCACCCCAAGACCTGACTTCTTGTCTAACATGCGGACATGATGGCAAGGAAGGGGGGTGTCCTGTGGCCACCTAGTTCTATATAAAGGGCCAAGAGAGGCCAAGGTTAGGCCCAGTGGGGGCCAGTAGTTTCAACAAGAATAAGACCTCTGCCCTTAACCAATAGCCCTGTAACTGATGCCCCATGCTGGCCCCAGTCTGAGCATCCATCCTGGACACAGACTCTGCCCTGTACCTGGCACTGGGTTGAGCCTAGTTGAATCTTGCCCTTGCTGAATAATAAGCCTCAAATTCAACCTCCCAGTGGTCACTGGGGACTAGCTGAGCCAGTGAAGCTACAGAAATGCAGTCTGTCCCTGGGCAGAGCCAGGTATGGGCCCCTGGCCCTGAAGGCAGGCATTTCTAGCCCCAGACCTTCTGGCAGATGGTCTCTTCCAACTCTGTCCCAAATCCCCAAGCGCTTCCATAGATGCCCACCTGCAACCTATCCAGTCAGCAAGCAGTAACACGTGGCCATCCCCAAGGAAATGACAACAAATCAGAAGATTCAGAGAAGAACCCACAGGATGTGGGGGTCGGGGGGAGTCCAAACCAACCCAGTGAAGAACAAAATAGCTGAAGGAAGGCCGGGCGCGGTGGCTCAAGCCTGTAATCCCAGCACTTTGGGAGGCCGAGGCGGGTGGATCACGAGGTCAGGAGATCGAGACCATCCTGGCTAACACGGTGAAACCCCGTCTCTACTAAAAATACAAAAAACTAGCCGGGCGTGGTGGCGGGCGCCTGTAGTCCCAGCTACTCGGAGGCTGAGGCAGGAGAATGGCATGAACCCAGGAGGTGGAGCTTGCAGTGAGCCGAGATCGCGCCACGGCACTCCAGCCTGGGCGACACAGCGAGACTCTGTCTCAAAAAAAATAAATAAAATAAAAAATAAAAAATAGCTGAAGGATCCAGGGATGTTTGGGAGCTGACTCCCTACCGAAAATATCTAAGGGGTGATCTGGGTCAAGGGAGCCCAGGTGACTCTGTAACTACAGAGATGTCACAGGGGACAGTTCCCAGCTTAGGGTGAGGATTTCCTCTAAAGCAAAGTCATCACACAAGAAGAGGCTTGCCCTGCTCAGCCTCTCCTGTCAGGGAGAGCAAGGCCTGGGGTTCAACTCACCTGGTGACTTCTTGCACATTGTTGGCACGGGCAGCTTCCAACAGGGCTGCATCTGAAGAGAAAAGGGGCACTGGTCAGATCCGTGGCCAGGACACACCTGCCTCAGGACTGCATGGAGGGCCCACTAAGACAGTAGCAGTACTTTAACAAGCAAACTGATGCCACAATATATAATGAGAAAGCTAATCATTCCCTTCCCACATGGTGGCCACTGTTAACAACCTGACTTCCACACCTTTCTACTATAGAGCCCAAACTCTTAACTCTTCTCATCATAGAGGGAATGCATGTCAACTGCTAGCACCACGTCTTGCCTATGGTAAATAGTGTGCTCTTCATAATCTATGAAGCTCTGCATAGTATGTTTTATGTTCCTGTAAGAGTTATTACTAACCATTCCCTGACCTTGTCCGCTTTCTCCCTCAACCCTAGTTCTTCAACCCAGTTCTGAATCTTGATGTCAAAAGTCATAAACCCAAAGGGAAAGGTAGAATGAGGGGAGCAAGCAGGGTGCAGGTCTCTCTGAGGATGCAGAAGGCCTCAACTAGGAGTCTTTGAGATCTGGCTCCATTCCACGCCCACTACTCACCACGTGACCATGACAGCTCTTCTCCCTCTCAACCACAGCTTCCCTGACTGCAAAACACAGACAAAACTCCTTGCCCTGCCAGCTTCACAAGGATGTCAAGGAGATGAAATTACGGTTGAGACGTCTGCAAACTCCCCAGTGCTAAGCACAGGAAAGGGAGACCCAAAGCAGAGATTCTGGTTAGGAAACACTAAGCCTAGAAGAAAAGCAATGCTAGCTAAGTCAGTCTGACCTGGTCTGGGCAGCCTGCAGGCTGTTGCCACCACCTTGTGGCCATAGAGAAAATTGGATTGACTCAGAAAAACTCAAAAGTCAACAGGAGAGGCACAACTAGCTCAATATCAGGTACATGGAACCCTGTGTGCCCAGCCTGGTTGTGAGCTACACTGCTGGGCACTGAACGGACTTATAGCCAGCCTTGACTCAGGGAACTCTCAGTCCAGCCAACAGACTCACCCATGAGCAAATGCACTGGAGTGGAGTGAAAGAGCAGGATCTGGAGACAGTCAGACCTGGGGTCTAGCCCGGCTCTGTCGCGTATTTGCTGTATGACCTAGCACACTTATCTAACCTCCTGAGCCTGAGTTTCCTTATCTGTACGATACACCTTATCATGCATATGAAAGCCAGTCCTGTGGTTCAGACACTGATGCCTCCTGGCCTAGATTCCAGTGACAGGTAATTTCTACTTACCTCACCAAGTGTACCCAAAGCACATACCCAAGCATGGCTCAGACAGCCACCAGCTGGGAGGAGATCAAGACTTCCTTAGAGATGGCTGTATCCACTCTCCCCTCACTCTGCAGAAAAAAATGTGGCTTCTACAAGGTTACAGAGTGAGGAATGAGCTAAGAACCAGGGCCTCCTTGCTTCTAAAGGGGTTCAGTTTCTACCACACTGCACTGAGGGTCAAAACTCTAATTCAAGGGGACAGGGTAGCTGGCAAGTCAGTTCCAGCAGGAACTGGTCACGGCTTTGACCATTATCTATTATACACAGAGCCTGGTATTCTTGCTGGAGATCATAGGCCACAAAGTCCAGTTTGGAACCCCCAGGAACTTCTTAGGCAAGACCTCACCAAATACACTGGACTCAGAACATTCCCTGCTCATGAACCTTCCATGACTCTTCACTGCCTACAGAAGAAATTCCAACACCCTCACCCACCCCACCCCTGACTGGCATCCAAGCCCCACTCCATCTGCTCTCATCTCATTCCAAAGACCTTATCTTCCAACCAAGCTGGCCACTCAGAAAGCCCCTGCTCACACCATGGTGCCCTGAAACTCTAATTTCCATTCCCTGAAGCCTTTGTATGGAATATAATCCAAGTCTCACACATTTACTGAGCACCTACTAAGTTCCAGACACTGTGATGGACAAATGATGTCTAGGTATTAGGGAAAGTTGCTGGTATAACCTGAAAAAACAAAAGAGAAGATACATTTCCTGCTCTCATGGGGCTCACAAAGTCACTCTCCTTTTCATTTCTACTTCATCCTTCAGAACTCAAGTTCGAATTTCCCATCCTCTGGGGTCTCCAACACTTCAGGAAGGCTTTCCTGACCCTACTGGCCCTCTGATCCCCCAACAACACACAGCACCACTCACCAGCCCTACATTCCAACTGCCTGCACTATCCCCTTGACTGATTTTGTGTTAAGTTAGGACTTTCCACACACCTAGCCTAAAACTAGACGCACAGTGGGTACCCCCAAAAATGCTGGAAGTTACAGGATTACAGCATGCCTAAGCTAGATGCCCTTAGCGTCTATGTCAACACCCTCATTTTGTAGATGAGGAAACAGAAAACCACTGAGGAGACGCAAAAGTCCAAATTCACAATGAGAGTTAGACACAGAACCAAAACAAGATCCCCAGTGTTGTCTCTCCCAGACCAAAGTCCTTCCTTTACAACTGGCCACATCAAACGAATGGAAGTCAAGGCACTCCCCACTCCCCCATTCTTGCTCCAAATTCTCAGAGCTTGGGGTGCACGGAATCTATGGACACCATGCCTCAGTCTGTCTTCTTGATGAATGACTAAGAACCTGAATGGCTGGATTCACATAGGTCATAGGTCTGGCTCTCTGTCCACTCTCTCAGCTGCTGCTTAGCTTCATGGATCCAGATGAGATGCTAATCAGGATCAGCCAGTCCCCCAGCAGTTGCCCTTGGGCCTCCAGGAATCCACCTTCCTTCTCCTACCAACTATCCCACATGGCAAGATCACCTAACAGCATGTGAGACCAGACATAGCAAAATCCTGACACTGACAGACTCAGGCCGCTTAACTCCAAAAGGAATCAAAATAACAGTACTGTAAAAATGTTAAGAAATTATCTTTCACTATATAAATAAATTGGCCAGGAGCGGTGGCTCACACCTGTAATCCCAGCACTTCAGCAGGCCGAGACAGGTGGATCACGAGGTCAAGAGATCGAGACCATCCTGACCAACAGCTAAAAACACAAAAATTAGCTGGGCATGGTGGCGCACGCCTGTAGTCCCAGATACTCGGGAGGCTGAGGCGGGAGAATAGCTTGAACCCGGGAGGCAGAGGTTGCAGTGAGCTGAGATCGCGCCACTGCACTCCAGCCTGGCGACAGAGAGAGACTCCATCTCAAAAATAAATAAATAAATAAATAAATAAATAAATAAAGGTCAAGGTGGCATTAAAACCGAGTCAGGTTCTTCCTGACTCTGGCACGTTTGGTGACGGGGGTTGGCGGGGGGCAGTCTGGCAACTTCTCTAAACCATCTAGAAGTTGCCCTTAAAACACCCCATAGTTTCCGTTTCCTGGAGATCTCAGGAAGGAGGAATTGGACCACGCAGAATATGAGAAACATAAGGGGACCATGCTGTAATATTAGATGTTTAGTCCAAGATCCCCATTGTACAGATGGATAAAATCATGCCCAGAGAGGGGAGGCGGATCTATGATAGGAGATTATACAACTCTGAGGTGATGAGGTCTCTAGGGCAACACCCTGCCCCTGTAACCAGATGATGTCTGAGTCCCTCCAAGACTTAGGCTCTAAAGATCTAAACCTATAAGTACCTCCCACCCTTCTAAGATACGAAGTTAGGACAATCTTCCCGCCTCTCCCTTCCTCAGATCCAGATCTCATAATCACCCTTGTTGGACGGACTCTTGCTGTAGCAATGAACAACCAGCGCTGTGGCCAGGGCCCACATGCTCAGTCCGGCCCTGTTGGGGACCCCGTTCCAGCTGTCCTGTCCTGGAAGTGTTTCTTCGGGGCCAAGAAGGCGTCCCCAAGTGGCAGCCGCGAGGCATTTGGTATCGAAGCGTCCTCCCTGGCGCCCCCAGGTGGCTGCCCCGCGTCCGGAGAACAAGGCCGGCGATGTTCCAGGGCGCCCCCCGGCGGCTGCCCTCAGCCACTGCGGCTCCCCGAGACTCCCAGTGGTCACATTCGGGCCGGAAGCACCTCCATGGCCCCGGAGCGTTGGGGACCTGAGCAGCCGGAGGAGTAGCCGTGGCGCCAGTGCTTTTCTCCTCAACACCAGGGACCCCAGCATCGTGACAGCTGCTTCGATAACCCCGCGGTGCCGGCCCCTGTGGTGGCCACGTCTAACATGGCTGCCGCGGCGCGTTCGAAGACGCCGCGAACAGGGTGGAGTTGCGCACTACCTCACGGGAGGGGTAGTCCACAGCCCTAAGCCTTTTCCCAGCTGGAGAACAAATAAAATACGCTTCCCAGAAGGCTGTGGGACTACGTCACAATGACTGCAGACTTATAGGAACCCGGGGCATGTTGGGAAATAGAGTTCGGGTGAAGGGGCGTGGCGATTAGAGCTAAAGATTAGAATCCCACGATTTCTTTCCTAGTTTAGTTGAAGCACACGACACAATTTTTTTTTTTTGAGACGAGTCTCGCTCTGTCGCACAGACTGAAGTGCGGTGGCGCGATATCTGCTCACTACAACCTTCGTCTCCTGTGTTGAAGCAGTTCTCCTACCTCAGCCTCCGGAGTAGCTGGGATTACAGGCGCCCGCCACCACGCCCAGTTAATTTTTGTATTTTTAGTGGAAACGGAGTTTCACCACGTTGGCCAGGCTGGTCTCTTAACTCCTAATCTCAGGCTATCCGCCCGCCTCTGCTTCCCAAAGTGCTGGAATTAGAGGCGTGAGCCACCGCGCCCGGCCCACAATATAATATATATGTATTTTGTTTGTTTTGTTTTGAGACGGAGTCTCGCTCTGTCGCCAGGCTGGAGTGCAGTGGCGCGATCTCGGCTCACTGTAGCCTCCGCCTCCTGGGTTCAAGCGATTCTCCTGCCTAAGCCTCTCGAGTAGCTGGGCGCTCGCCACCACGCCCAGCTAATTTTTGTATTTTAGTAGACACAGGGTTTCATCATGTTGGGCAGGATGATCTTGATCTCCTGACCTCGTGATCCGCTCGCCTTGGCCTCCCAAAGTGCTGAAATTACAGGCGTGAGCCACTGCGCCCGGCCCGAGGCACTCAAATATTTTTTTCAGTGAATGGATTACTCTCACCTTATTAGTGTGGGAGAGTATATGAGCTTTGGCATTCAGGCAGACGTGGATTTTAATTTTGACTCTTGCATTTACATGCGTGACCTTGGATAAACTCCCTTTACCTCTCTGGTAGTTAATTCCTCATTATTGTTGAAGATAATTCCTACCTTCAAGATGATTGCTCGTATTAAATAAGATAATACGTAGGAAGCCCCTAACACTGTCCCTGGCTCACAGTAGGTCTTTAAGAAATGGTAGCGGCCGGGCGCGGTGGCTCAAGCCTGTAATCCCAGCACTTTGGGAGGCCTAGGCGGGCGGATCACGAGGTCAGGAGATCGAGACCATCCTGGCTGACACGGTGAAACCCCGTCTCTACTAAAAAATACAAAAAACTAGCCGGGCGAGGTGGCGGGTGCCTGTAGCCCCAGCTACTCGGGAGGCTGAGGCAGGAGAATGGCGTGAACTCGGGAGGCGGAGCTTGCAGTGAGCTGAGATCTGGCCACTGCACTCCAGCCTGGGCGGCAGAGCGAGACTCCGTCTCAAAAAAATAAATAAATAAATAAATAAATAAAAGAAATTGTAGCTATGATTGTATTCTCTGCTCTGTGTATTCTACACTTCCTCCAGGCAAATACTGAACTTCTCATTTCCACATCCCTTAGTAAGACAGGAATGAATGAACGACTATTATTCTGGGGTTTTTTTGAGACAGGGTCTCACTCTGTTACACAGGCTGGAGTACAGTTGCCACTGCAGCCTCAACCTCCTGGGCTCAAGGGATCATCCCATCACCTCAGCCTTCTGAATAGCTGGGACCATAGCTGGGACCACAGCTGGCACCACTGTGCCTGGCTAATTTTTTGTTATTATTATTACTTGGGTAGAGACTAGGTCTTGCTATGATGCCCAGCCTGGTCTGAACTCCTGGGCTCAAGCAGTCCTCCTGCCTCAGCCTTCTAAAGTGCTGGGATTACAGGCATGAGCCACTGCGCCTGGCTTTAATAACTTTTTTTTTTTTTTTTTTTTTTTTTGAGATGGAGTTTTGTTCGTTGCCCAGGCTGGAGTGCAATGGTGTGATCTCGGCTCACTGCAACCTCCACCTCCCAAGTTAAAGCGTTTTTCCTGCCTCAGCCTCCTGAGTAGCTGGGATTACAGGCATGCGCCACCACACCTGGCTAATTTCTTTTGTATTTTTAGTAGAGACGGGATTTCTCCATGTTAGTCAGGCTGGTCTCCAAACTCCCAACCTCTGATGATCCACCCGCCTTTGCCTCCCAAAGTGCTGGGATTACAGGTGTGAGCCACCGTGCCTGGCCTTGAATAACTATTTTTAAAGCATTTTTAAGGCCTGGCGCGGTGGCTCACGCCTGTAATCCCAGCACTTTGGGAGGCCGAGGCGGGTGGATCACGAGGTCAGGAGATCGAGACCATCCTGGCTAACACGGTGAAACCCCGTCTCTACTAAAAAACACAAAAAATTAGCCGGGCGCGGCGGCGGGCGCCTGTAGTCCCAGCTACTTGGGAGACTGAGGCAGGAGAATGGCGTGAACTCGGGAGGTGGAGCTTGCAGTGAGCCCAGACCGTGCCACTGCACTCCAGCCTGGGTGACAGACCGAGACTCCATCTCAAAAAACAAAACAAACCATTTTTAAAGCACTCAATAATGAAAGCATTTTGACCTTTCTGTTTTGAGAGATTTTCAGTACATACTATTTTGTTAACCACCTCATTCACTATAGCAACTTCACTTTCCCTGTATTCTTGAAACATTTCTGCCTCCCAACTTAGGGTGGTCACAGCAGGAATATCAGTCTCTGAAAGCTCCCATTACCAGATGCAGAGTTCAAACCCTCTCAATGAAGACACATCCCAGGGCCCTTCAGTTTACTTAGCAATGTATAACTTTCAAAGCACTTCCCCATTGATTCTCTCATTTGATTTTCACAGATACCATCTGCAAGGGGTTCAAGGAAGGGTTTAATTACTATCAGTATTTGGTAGGGATACAGAAAAACTTAAATTATCAATCTCTGAGTGGGGGATGTAGTGAGAAGTATGGAAACACCCATCAGGGTCGTGTGTGCTTGCTCACGTGCCTGTAATCCCAACACTTGGGGCAGGAGTTTGAGACCAGCCTGGGCAACATAGTGAGATCTCAGTCTCTGCAAAAAATACAAAATTAGCCAGGCATGGGGGTGTACACCTATGTAGTTCTAGCTACTCAGGAGGCTGTGGCAGGAGGATCCCCACGCTACTGCACTTCAGTCTAGGCAACAGAGTGAGACCCTGTCTCCAGAAAAAAGAAAAAAGAAATAAAATTAAAAACAAACAAAAAAACCCCACCCATTAGAATCAGCTGGGACTCAGAGTGAATTCCATATGGTCAATAACCAATCCAGGGCCAGGCACAGTGGCTCACGCCTATAATCCCAGCACTTTGGGAGGCTGAGGTGGGAGGATCACTTGAGGTCAGGAATTCAAGACCAGCCTGGGCAACATGGTGAAACCCCCTCTACCAAAGATACAAAAAATCAGCCGGGCGTGGTGGTACGTGCCTATAATCCCAGCTACTCGGGAAGCTGAGGCAGGAGAATAGCTTGAACCCAGGAGGCAGAGGTTGCAGTGAGCCAAGATTACGCCATTGCACTCCAACCTGGGTAACAGGGCGAGCCTCCATCTCAAAAAACAAACACACAAAAAAGTCTTACGTCACATTTTAACAGATTTCAACTCAGGATGGCTTCCTTTTGGTCTGCTCAGAAAGCAAGAATTTATATCAGGTTCCAATTACCCCACCTTGGCCCTAAGCTTCTGTTAGGTTGGGAGACAGAAAACTCCAGTTTTAGTTTGTAATAAGATAACTGGGGGATATCTAAATGGGGTTTAGGAGGAGGCAGAAAGTGAAGAATCAATGCAGTTCCTGTGGTCAGCTACCTCTGGCATGGAGCTGTAGGCCATTTGGTACTACACATTTTAATAAGTTTCTGGGAAAAAACTTTTCCAGAAAAACAAAACAACAACATATGCATACATTTTTAAACAAATAAGTAAAGAGTAACTGGGCTTTTCACTGTTTGAGAAAGAAGTTATAAATAGGGAAAAAAAGAAAGCTAAAATGAACCTTGTGGTATTGAATTGGATTCAGATGTATCAGCATAAACTCACGGCTTTAATTTTATTTTTACTTTATTTATTTATTTTTGAGACGGAGTCTTGCTCTGTCACCCAGGCTGGAATGCAGTGGCGCGATCTAGGTCACTGCAACCTCCGTCTCCCAGGTTCAAGTGATTCTCCTGCCTCAGCCTCCTGAGTAGCTGGGATTACAGGGATGTATCACCACCCAGGTAACTTTTGTATTTTTAGTAGAGACAGGGTTTCACCATGTTGGCCAGGCTGGTCTCGAACCAGCCTGATTGGTCTCAATTGGTTATTGACCATGTGGTTTTGCCATGTTGGCCAGGCTGGTCACAAACTCCTGACCTCAAGTGATCTGCCTGTCTCGGCCTCCCAAAGTGCTAGGATTACAGGTTAGAGCCACCATGCCCAGCCATAAAACTCATGGTTTTTAAAAATAGATACAGACAGATCAATACAGAAATATAAATATGTAAGCATGTATGGGTTCGTGTATTACATATATTACCTAGCCTCTGGGAGGGTCTAGAAGCAATTACACCCTAAAAACTGAACACACCTAACACCCAGATGTAAACAGCATTCTCCAATAAACCAGAAACCAGTTACCCTTGGAGAATGGTTGTTTTTAGGACTGGGCAGAGAAAATCCAAAATGTGTCAACATCTTATGTGCCAGGAAGTCAGGAAAGGCTCAAAACCAGATGCAGGCTTGGGAAAAGAACACAGGAGCCAGTGTGAAGGAGTTCATAATGACTTAAGTGGGAACGATTTAACTGAAAAGTAATGGCCGTATGGGGTTTTGATCCACAGAGTAAAACAAACATGATATAAATAATCAAATAAATAAATAGATAAATAGGGGAGGAATGAGGGAAGAGGCAGTTCTTTCTTTTTTTTTGAGACGGAGTCTTGCTCTGTCGCCCAGGCTGGAGTGCAGTGGCGTGATCT